GGACTCCGGGATTTGTCCCCAAGCAGTCCTGCTGCCACTTTCCTTCTGAAGTTTTGCAAAAAAGAGATGTTATTGCAGAGAAACAGCAGATATACCAAATGAAATTATATCAAACCATAAAACTATATGTGATAACAGATTTATGTGCATGTCCTCTCATTTGACACCTTCAGCTGCACAGGTAATTAATAACTTTGTAGCGCTCCTGATCGGGTGTTTATATTTACTGATACCGGCTTTTATTGCAGCAAATAAATGATGACATATCCACAGCTTTTGTTCCCGTCATCATCCTCCACAGTAAATTTAGCATTATCTGCTGTACTTCAATGTTTCTTTAATTGTCGAGGCCTTGTTCCAGTCTTCTATTCTCCTTCAGTATCCTGCACCATGACACATCGCCTTGGTTTAGTATTTTCTTATTACTTTCAGTATGTACTGTAGCTGTCCGTACATTCTACACATTGGTGTGTGTAGTTGGGGGACGCTGCTTGATTATACCACTGCAGTTTGAACTTTGACCAGCTTGCCTGCAATGTGATGCTGGTGCCATGGATTGTACAAGAATAGGCAGCTTACAGCAATATGTGACCAGATCCAGTAGAACAGTGTGAACGAGGCTTTTATTTCTTCATATTTTACTAGCAAAAAAAAAAAGGACATGGGTGTGGTGACTTATTAAAAAGATCCAAATAAAGTATATAAGGCAAAAACAGAGTTGGTACAGTTCTAACAAGCTTGAAAGTCAAAATTTGGTTCGACTGTGGCGACCCACTAGAGGGCTCCACTCACACCCAAGCTTGGAGGAGGGGTTCTGTTGTGTTTGGGCGCGATATGCTTAGTTGATGTATGGAGGTGAATAAAGTTAGAGTGAAAAACTAGAGCTCCTGTGTGGTGTGTCACATGCCTCCATATTGGTGACCCTACTTTGAACACGCGGCGAACCATGGAGATCGCCCTGGACACGCCAACAACCGCCGGCTCTCTGCCTTCTGCTACGGCTACGTTTGCTGTGGGCCTCCAGTTGCGGGACTTCTGGCTCCATGACCCCTCGTCATGGTTCGTCCACGTGGACGCTCAGTTTGCTCTCCACGGTATCTCGGCTGACGACACGAAATTTCATCATGTGGTGGCATCGCTCGACCCGCTAGCCACCCGCCGTGCGATGGCTCTCCCCCGGGACCGCCTGTGCACGGGAAAATATGCCCTTAAGGACCTACTACTGCGGCGATACATCCTCTCCGGTGTGAGCGCGCCAAGAAGCTTCTCTCCCTCTCCGGCCTGGGTGGAGCCACGGCTCTTGAGCTCATGGAGAACACGTTGTCCTTGCTCGGTTCGGACAACGGGGGATTCCTAAACATCCATCTTTTTTTCAGACAACTGCCTGTCGCTGTGAGGACCGGCCTCGCCAACTCCCCGTTTCTAGCGGCACAAGAATACCACTCCCTGGCTGAAGAAGCGGATCGCATCCTGCTGGC